AAATTTACTAAAATATCCGTGAAAATTGACGAGGTGATTTGGCCATTTTGAATTCTTGAAAGTATTTTTTTATATATAGTTTTATATGGTGAATGTTGTCAAGTATATACAACTAAAATTTCATCATGATCTAATCTATAAAAAATGATTAAAATTCATATAGTTACATGTATTTTGAACTACCTGATGAAGATATGACAGCTGGAATTCCACCTATATTACTGTTCATTATAGGTGTCACCTTTTGGTAGCTATATATGTATGTATGAATTAATTCACATATAATTATGAAATATAAACATCAAAAAATGTTAGAGATAAAATAGATTTACAATCATATAAAAATTATGATAATGTAGAGTTTAGATAATATACAAGATATAACATTTTTGGGACTTGAAAATATATATATATTTTTTAACATCCGTATATCTCGAGGTTAAGATGAGTAGTTAGAATGGCTTTCAACAATAAAACAAATTTTTTTAATATTATTGAGGCGTGCCTTTTTTTCAATAGTGTAAGGTTGCAACCCTATATAAACAGTTTTTCTATTACGAAGTTGGTCTCGAGAAACTCGCATTTTTAGATTTATTGCCTTAGAACTTTTTCCTTTTATGATGTTGGTCTCGAGAAAGTCGCATTTTTAGATTTATTGCCTTAGAACTTTTTCCTTTCATGATGTTGGTCTCGAGAAAATCGCATTTTTTCTATAAATTTATTGTCCTATAAATATTCCTCACTCGGAGTCTATCCCCGGAAGTGAATGAATGGGTTACATGTTCCTGTAGGAGCATTTAACTAAAGTTCAATAAAAAAAATTATAGATACCTCTCATACTTTACCATAATACTTTGTAAATCACACCACAATCTATAAAGCCACTTATTTTTGCAACTACCTACCGAAGTAAAAAAATAGGATCCTTTAGGATGAAATTACCCCAGTACAACACATTTTTCTCAAGACAAAATCAAATCAATCCGATATGATGTGTCAGATAGGTTTCATATTAAACAATATATCGATCGGGTAGATATTGTTTCAGATTGACTTTATATTAAAGAATTTACTGGTTCAGCACATATTGTTTTAGTCCGTCTAATCTTTTGAAAAAAAGGGTCCAACATAATTTGTATTGAATTAAACAATGTGTCAAACTGGTGCACCATTGTGCCAACCCAGCTTTACTTTAAAAAATTTATTGGCTCGACACAAATTGTGCTCAATCGGCATCATTTTTTAAAATAAAAGGTCCAACATAATGTGTGTTGGACTAGAACATTATTTAAAATGAATTTGTCAGTCTATGTGCATGTGTTTTGAGGAACGTAGTGCACATTGCACGCTGCGGGGTCCACAACACTTGTCATACATAGTGTACATTACACGCTGCATGTACACAACACTTGTCATAAGTAGAGGTAAGCAACATGCTTAAACTCTTTTTTTTGAAGGGTAATTCAATGGGGATGACAAGCCACTATCTCTTGTTTTAGAATCGTTAATAGGTTTTTTAATGAGAATGGAAGCTAGACTTTAGTTGGGGCACAAATAATGCTACCACCATGACCCCAACCCCATTCTCGAGCAACATGCCTAAATTTTACATATGAATAGTGCACATTGAGAAACATGTGTCGTACAAGAGGTAATTTCGTCCCTCAAAGATATTACTTTTGGACTTGAGAAAGTAGAAAAAAAAAAAAAAATGTGGTTTAGAAGGTATAGGCAGGTTGCTTTTTGGTATTTTTTTTTGGATTGGGGTGGGGGTTGGGCGGTTTGGTTACGTCTAGACTCTAGAGATTAGCGGCAAGGGGGGCACTGTAAGTTTTCCAATTAAATACAGTTAGCTTAGCTTCCGAAGAAGAGATACAAATGCAAAAAGAGTGGCTCCTACGATACTCGACTCCAAACCAAACACACAATACCTACATTCAATTCAAAGATACCCACCTCCAAACTCCACTATAAAACTCCCTGCTTCGTCTCAATCCATCCATATCTCCCTCCCCAATGTCTACCAACATCTTGCTGTACCCATTCTCCCTCTTACTCCTCCAATGGTTCTCAGGTAAAAAAAAAAAAAAACCATCACCATTCATTCATACATGCATAGAATAAGGTTGGGATGATTTGGGTGAAGCATTTTATGGTTCAAAAGTTATACTTTTTTGAGTGATTTATGTATCGGCCCTATATTTTTTTTTTTAAAATTCGAAATGCTTCATTTATAGGTAGAAATTTTAAAGAAAATTAATCAATTTACTTTTTTTTTTATTTTTTTTAAAATTACCCCCCGGTATAAAGATGTAATCCTTAGTCCGAGTTTTAGTTTTTTCTTTAGTAGGATAGTGCCTCAAGTTTGGGGCAGTGCCCTACCAACGAACAAACTAAAAAAAATAAATTAAAATTCGGTTCAATGTCAATTGAGAGGCAATTTTGAAAAAAAAAAAAAGTGGGCTGATCGATCTTTGTAATTCCTACCAATAAACAGAGCATGTTGTATTTTAAAAAAAGTTTTAGGTCTGTATGTAAATCACTCTTATTTTTTTAGCTAATTAATCTTATTCACAAGTTTAACTAGGAAGAACCTCTCTCTCTCAACAGGAGCTTCAGGAGTGGGGGCATGTACCATCCAGGTGACAAACAAGTGCAGCTTCCCTATCTGGCCTGCAACCGCTTCGAATGCTGGGCATCCAGTTATCGCCGAAGGTGGCTTCTATCTGCCACCATCCAGAGCCAAGAAGATAGAAGCTCCAGCAAATTGGAGTGGTAGGCTGTGGGGCAGAACAAACTGCGACTTCGGCCCTAACCCTGCCTGCGAAACTGGAGACTGTAGTGGCAAACTAGCCTGTAATGGCACCATAGGCACTCCTCCGGCCACCCTTGTTGAATTCTCTCTCCAACCCGACTCGTCGAAGCCCAGCTTTCACGACGTGAGCCTCGTTGATGGTTACAACCTCCCTATCTCCGTGTCTCCTCGAGGTGCACGTTGCTCCCCGACTCCAGGTTGCGCTAAGGATTTGAAGTCACATTGCCCTCCAGAGCTTCGAGTTACAGACCACCGTGGCTCGGTGGTGGCTTGCAAGAGCGCCTGCTTGGCCTTCAATCTCGACGTCTTTTGCTGCCGAAATGACTACGGTAGTCCTGACAAGTGCCACCCAAGTATGTACTCTACAATGTTCAAGGATGCCTGTCCTGCTTATTTCAGCTACGCATATGATATGCCGCCGCCTCTCTACAGTTGTGTGGCTTCGGAGTATGTAGTCACCTTTTGCCCCTCTAAGTGGGGCTTGGACTCCCACCAACCCATGTAAAAGCCACCAACCATGACATAAATGGCTGATGCTATATTTCTACTCTACTTTTGTTTTGTTTTTCAATGAGGATTTTATAAGGCTTAGGAGTAATGAAAACAAAATCACCTCAAATCTTCATTTAGAAAGCAAGCACTTTTGGCAACATAAATCTCTATGATGGATCTAAATCAATTTCTAATACTGATAATAAAATTTAAAACAAGAAAATAAGTACAGGTCTTGAGGATCAATGAACACTTAATTTTTAAGGTGAAATAGATGGTGTTATAATATACATGATTGTTAAAACTTAAAATCCTAATTTTTTTTTTCATAACTAATATTCAGGCTAAGATGATAGGTGTAACGGTTATCTAATGCTTGAATTGTAATTTTTGATAAATTATGAGGTGAGGCTTTACTTATTTTGATAGGGTTGCAACCCTATCAAACCATTTTCCTTTTTATTTTTCTAATTATTTTGAAGAGACAAGCAAGGTCAACCTTTGTGGTTCTTTTCTTTTCTAATATTTATTAAAACTTTGTGGACTTCTCTATCTTTTCGTAGGGAAAAAACATGATTAGAATTTAGAAGGTTCTCTAACCAATCTCACTAATGTAAATAACTACCCCTTCTCAAGGGAATTGATTGGCAATGAATTACGTAATCGAAGGAAGGTATAAACATTGATATATGATTAGGCAACAATTATACAAGGCATGGTGGTCTAAAGGTTTGCAACACCAAAAATTACCCATGGCATTCACAACACCATATTCAAACTGTTTACTATGAAATTCAGCCAATCCTACTCTTCTTCTTTTTTTTTTTTTTTTTTTTTTTTTTTTTTTTTTGTAATTCTTATTTTAAAAAGCAATGTTGCATAGTCATCATTAACTGGAACTAAAAATTAACAAAACAATAAAAAAAATGTACTGATTGTAGTAATTCCTTAATTCACATGAAATCGAATTATTCTTCCTAGAATTTTGATATAAAAGTTGAGGATTTAAAACATTTAAATATTGGTGAATGTTCTTTACCTTCTCGATGTTGGGTCATGTCCACTTTTGTGTTGGAATCTCAAATACAACTCACTGCCTTGGTCATATTGAAAACTCAACGGCAGAGTGGCTGGTTGGAAACCCAATACATACTCTTTTGCTGGATTTCTTCTCTACTTTTCATTTGACCATTGGAAGGCTTTGTTTACTACGGAAGAAACTTAGTGGGATTTGGCTATAACTGTAGATCAGATTAGTCGGATCAATACTTCAACTAGTCTAGTTGAAAGCAAATATCAAGTTTGAAAGCAAATATCGAGTTTGATCGAAAATAAGTGGAAATTAATATTTGTTCAGTTTTGATTGGTTGGATAGAACCATTATGTCTGATCTGTTCAACAAAGTAGATTTCATGTTTTACACTACTTTTTTTTAAAATAAAAATAAATAAAACCAGTTCAACTAGTACTCAGTACTCAGACCAATTTGTCAGGACGAGAACCTAACAACTGTAGTGGCCTATGCATTTTTAATAGTAATGGTGTAGAAAGACAGTGGGATGGAAGTAGTCAGAAGAATAGATGAAAGATATAAAAGTTGGCCGATATTGATTGAAGCTTCATGGATGGATTCATTGTATTGTAAACATTCTATGGAATACATGCGGGACAATTTTTATGTAAGGCGTCCATCTTAAACAATCAAGATAAGGCACACCTTCAATTTCAGCTGGAAAATGCATTCCCATGTCAGAAATCTTATGATAACCTGAAAATTTTTCTAACCTTAATTATTAAATTTAAAGTTTCAGAAACGGTGTCGCTCAAGTTGATCTGTAAATACTAAAAAATCTTGAAAATAGACAATTCAAATAATATGTTACAATATGCACTTTTTTTGGGACTTGAAATGCCCCTTTTTTTTTTTTTGTCATATTTATCTATATCGATGTCAAGATCATAAATTGGAGAGATTTCCTAACATCGAAACAACATTTTAAGAGAGTTTTACCAAAACAACATTTTCCAGTAAAATTTTATGGTGCACCTTACTTATAAAGTTCATAGCTTATAATTTCTTTCATACATGTCCAAGAGTGGAAACATTTCCTCTGCCTAAGGATTGGTATCATTACTTGACCCCAAAAGTGAATGATGTTGTTAAATGTCATTATCATTTTCAGCTCACTGGGCAATCAATAATGGAGAAAATAATAATTGTGTTGATGCCAATCTATCTAATGGAAGGGTCTTCCTAGACATTTTTGGAGTACTTTATCACTACAAGCTGGGTTGCATTTGTTGAATTAGAAGGTTGTGATTGTGATTAACTGAAAAAGCAAAGAAAAATCTCTGTGATAATTGGCTAGGGCAACCAATGGGCACTCAATTATTAAGTTTGTGAGTTTGATAAATCAAGTCTCTTTTACTTAACAAAGAGCTTATTGGATGTGATCTCTTAATCCATCTCCATTAACTATTGAATGTCAGGTTAATCTCGAATAGGAGTCTTTGTGGCCTCCGTACTTCTTAAAGACAAGTTTAGACGAATTATGTAAGTGTAATCTTGTGGCGGATTGGGGATTTTTCAAATAAACAGAGATTAGATAAAGGAGCAGACTGCAGACCGAAATCTGGCTGAAGAATTCTATGGCTAGGATGTTAGAAAAAAATAAAATGTTTTTAGTCAACAGTTTGGCGAATAGGGGCCAAGTGATTGGACTTATATCACATTTTTTGCAATAGATCCAAGCTAGTAGGAATCGGGCTTCGAAATTAGTGCATAATTGTTAATGTTAGCAATATTACATTTTAAGTATGATTTCTGCTGCTGCTGAACTACCCCAAAAAAAAAAAAAACCACAGAGAAAAGAAAAGAAAATAGAGAGAGATTTACACTAGTGGGCCTGTTTGGATGTCGCAATGACTTGTTTATTTGTGAAAAATTAAAATCTGATTGCTAATTAACAGTAATTCAGAAAAAATATGTCTCTGACTCAAGAATCGCCTGAGTCAAATTAGAATGGGAGGCCAGCAGCTTCGAGTTGAAAAACTTAGAAATCACCTACTCTCTTGGCTATTTAGTTCCTTTTAAACTCGAGAATCGGCTGTGTCGAACTAGGGCAATCAGAATGAGATACCTATCATGTTGGTGCTCGATTCAGATTTTTGAAATGAAAATTAATGAAGGAAAGACAATTGTTCCTTTTTTACACGGTCAGTTTGACCTTTTCTTCCATGGAAAAAGTTTATAAAGTTCCAACATTATACTATTGAAGTGAGATGCTCCTCAAAAATCCTTTAGAAAAGAGTTTTTCGATATTGTAGAACCTTCAAAGTGATTATCTTTTATCTCAAGATGAGTGGATATGAATAAAAAGAGAATTTCAAGTTTTACAAATAGTGTATCTTGTAACAAGTTATTTAGAATGCCCATCCTTCAGACTTTCAAGCATTTATAGATTTGCTCGATATGTATTGTTTTTAAAATTATAAATTTCATAACTATGGATATAGATTTTGAAACCAACATAAAGATTTCCGACACCAGAACTACGTCCCGAAGCGAATCTTAGAGGTGCGGCTTACTTCCACAATCTCTATTGATTTAAGCCACTTACAATCTCTATTTATCTAGGGTTTGTTAACACGTGGTGTAAGGTAAAAACTGGTAAAGACTTGGGAAATATTGTCTCATCTTGAGAGGCATACGCACAAGGAGGACACATCGTTTGAATGTGTCGTGCTCGAGAGGGAATGTCATTTGTGATATGTTGATATTCTTCGCTTGAGAGCAACCAAAGGGTCTGAGTTCGATTAAATAGTTGGGGCCAGCCATATGGCTAGGACCTAGGGTTGCTCCATTTCATACTCATTAAAGAAAAAAGAAAGAGAAGACTTGACGTTTTTCATAAAACATCTAGAACAACATAGTTATCAAAAGACTGGACATTTTTCTTGAGACAAGACTAGTGTTCCAAAAATTGAACCGGCCTTGGAAACAGGCTAAGGGCCAGGCCTGAGTATAAATTGGCCGGTTCAACCAGCCTAACTGGGCAGGTCTTGGCCAGTTCAAAAAGCTTAAAAAATAAAAATAAAAAATATGAAAAGTTTAAAGCATGATTAAACAAAGCACATCTAATGAAGTTGAAAAGTAGAGAAAAAAATGGATCTTAAAATCCGATATGTGCCAAGGGTATTTTCAAAATTTTTCAAAAAACAATGCTAAAATATAGGGAAATTATAGCTAATATACCTTAATTTTAAAAAAATCGCAAAAAAACCCCAAACTTCTCAAAACCTCGCCCACACCTTTTTTTTCCAATTTTTTGCATTTTTGGATGAAAATACCCTTCAAATTAAAGCTAATATCAAGGGTACCCTTTTCAAAAAATCTATGTTCATATGGGAGCACGATGTGGATCTACTCCATCTCTCAAAAATACTTATTTAAGCGTATTTTTGCTCTAAAATTTTGATAACCATATAAAAATTAAGTAAAGATTATATATTAAAAAATTTGAGATTTGAAAAAATTACAGCTGGCGTGGATTTTTATCGAGGGAGTAAATAAATAGTAGGCTCGAGAGAGTAAAAAATATTTCGCGTTGAGTTGGGCAATATTACGGTACTTAAATTACCGTATACTATTTTAAAGTATTACAGTATTTTAATTACCGTAATACTCTATGTTTTACGGTAATTAAAGTACCGTAATAGATGTTTATGTTATTACGATACTAGAAATACCGGAATTCTAGCTCTATTTACAACGGTATTTTACTTACCGTAATGGTCGCAATGCATTACGGTAGAAAGACTACCGTAAATGGTATTTCGTCCTAAAAATACCGAAAATTGGGAAAAAAGGTATGGTCGAGGTTTTGGAAAGTTGAGGTTTTTTTTACGATTTTCTTAAAATTAAAGTATATTAACTATAATTTCTCTAAAATATAAAAATACGTATTTATGCCCAAAACAGTTTCCAACCGTTTCCAAAATGATAAAAAAAAATTAAAAAACAGATTACAAACAAATACCTTCTTTTTTGAGATTTTATTTTTTTATTTTTTTTAAAATACCTGACCGAACGACCAAAACCTGTCAAAATT